AGGAATTGTCCAAACTACCTGAAGAGTGTGAAGGACAAGAAGCATGGTGATGCTTCTACCTCAGGTATTTACATGATTGAGATAAATTATTCTTGTGCTAATCTGACTTCATGGGTATTGGATACCGGTTGTGGTTCTCATATTTGCAATTCGTTGCAGGTGCTTAGGAATCCTAGAAGATTGGAAAAGAATGAGGTGGACCTCCGCGTTGGTAATGGAGCAAGAGTTACTGCTCAAGCTGTTGGAGATGCCGACCTCATTTTGCCTACGGGCCTTGTATTGCATTTGAATAATTGTCTTTATGTTCCTAGCATTTCCAGAAACATTATTTCTATTTCTTGTTTAGAACAATATGGTTTTGCTTTCACTATTAGGGATGGTACATTTTTTATCATTTCGAATGATATTATTTTTGGTACTGCTTCTTTAATAAATGGCTTATATGTTTTGGAAATGAGAACCGAAGTGCTCAATGTAAATGTGAAACGACCTAAGATAGATAATCAATCTTATCTTTGGCATTGTAGACTAGGGCACATAAACGAAACAAGATTGTCTAGGATGCATGCAAATGGATACCTAGATTCCATGGATTTGGAATCCTATGGACAATGTGAATCTTGTCTAGCAAGGAAAATGACTTGTCACAAGCCCAAAGGGTTTGAGAGTCATAGGGCTAGTGAGTTATTAGAACTCATTCACACTGATGTTTGTGGGCCAATGTTTATAGAGGCTAGAGGAGGATACTCCTATTTCATTTCCTTTACTGATGATAAATCAAGATTTGGGTACGTGTACCTAATGAGATATAAATCTGAAGCTTTTGAAAAATTCAAAGAGTTTAGGAATGAAGTAGAGAAACAGTGTGGCAAGATGATTAAGACATTACGATCAGATCGTGGTGGTGAATATCTGAGCCATGAGTTTCAGGATTATCTGAGAGAAAATGAAATTCTCTCGCAGTTTACCGCACCTTACACACCAAACCAAAATGGTGTCTCCGAAAGGAGAAACAGGACCTTGTTAGACATGGTCAGGTCTATGATGAGTGAGACTCAACTTCCAAAATCGTTTTGGGGATATGCCTTAGACACAGTGACATACCTCCTAAATAGGGTACCTTCTAAATCTGTTCAGACCACACCATATGAGATATGGAATGGTAAGAGACCCAACCTGAGTTACCTCAGGGTATGGGGATCACCAACTTATGTCAAAGCATCGGCATCAGACAAGCTTAGTGCTAAGAGTACTAAATGTCTATTTATGGGGTATCCCAAAGGTACTAAGGGATACTACTTTTACTCCATGGATGAACACAAGGTGTTTGTGTCAAAGAATGTTGAGTTCCTTGAGAAGGATTTGATCTCTCAAGGAGCCAGTGGGAGTAAGATTGATCTTGAAGAAGTTCAAGAACCACATGAACAGATTGAGGAACCCGAGTCTGCACCGCAAGCGACGTTCTCCAATAGAGAAGTAAACACACAACTCCATAGGTCAACGTGGGTCATCCATCCACCTGAGAGGTATGGGTTTGTGATTGAGAATCAGCAAACCGTCGAGGATGATGAACAAAGTAACTACGAAGAGGCAGTCAAGGATGTTGACTCTTCTAGATGGCTTGAAGCCATGGAATCTGAAATGGATTCGATGTATCAAAACAAGGTATAGACTTAGGAAATGTCCTTCTCAATTTTTGAATTTTTATTTCTTTTTTGGAGTAATAAAAAAAATTGGTGATCACAAATACAATATATTTAATTACCTAAAAATCTTTGTTCTCCTAATTCAATCTTATATGATAAGCATATCATTAAGGTTTACCAAAAATCTCTCCTTCCATTTTCTTTAATTTTTTTAAGCTTCTACTTGAAATAAGTAACCCATCCTTTCTAACATACGCAAAATATCGATCTTGTTTCTTTTTACACACAAATATTTTAAAAACAATTCTTTATCTCTTTTGACCAAGGAACCACCTTTACCAAATTAAAAAATATATATATTATTTTTCTTCACAAAACATATACGCTCTTGAAACTTGATTTCCAAAAGAGCTTCAAGATTCCAAATTCTCACAATTAAAAATTTAGGCATTTCATCATGAAAAAAATGATTGATAGAAAATCATTATTGTTAGTGGATAAAGAAAAGCGTATTGTGAAGCATTGAAGGATATTGAGATTGATGGTAACCTAAGCTTGAATCCCTCAGATTTGTCTTAAACATTCATTTAGTGTTGTTGTTCTTCGTAGAACTCAAAGCAAGGGTGCCTAAATTCCAAAGGTTCGCATCTTGTTTTTCCTAAAAAGTTTGAATTCTTGTAATAAATTCTTGAACCCATCCTTGATTCCTTTCAAAAATCATTTGGTAATTTTGACCGAGAGTGTGTGTGGGATTTTGAAGCATCTTTTAATTAATTTTTGTTATATAAATATTGATCAATTTTAAGAAAATAAAAAAAAAATTGAGTTTCCTCGTTGGCCTAAAGATTTGATTTTTTTTATACTCTAAACGATTGAATAATGACAATTATTATTTTTTTGAACTATTTATTCATTGCAAGATTTGGTCATAAATCCTTCTTGCATATTCATAGAAAATATTGTCTTGACTAAAACTTATTATTTTTCTTAAGTGTTTATTTGACATTAAATCACTAATTGGTATTTCATTATCCTTGCATACTCTTTCATTTTTTGAACAATATCAATTTGTGTATCTTGTATTTTTTGAAGTGAGTAGGATTGTATTGATGTTGCACATAGAGGTGCTTACTTTCTTTATATCTTTCCGTTGTCAAATTGATCATAGGTTGTAGTGCCTGTTTGATTCCATTGTATTGTTTGTTGATCAATCAATTGACCATATTTGGGTAGTCTCGAATGAAGATTATCTTGAACATTTGGCTAGCTCGGCTTGAGAAATCTCAAGGCTTGAAGCATAGAGCTGCCCTAGGTGAGGGTAAACTCAAAGTAGGATCAAAGTGCGAGTCACACTTTGCCTTGATTTTTTGCTTGACTTGAGAGTGATTGCTTGGAGCTTAGAGCTAGTGTAGGGTTCAGTTGAATCACTTTGATATAGGGTAATTGATAGGTTATCACTAGACTTAAATTAAAAGTTGATTGATTGTAAAAACACTTGATATAAATTAATAGTAACAAATATCTAGTACTTCATCACCTAGGGAGTGCACATAGCCTCCCTTTTGCACTTAAGGGTTATAAACCAATATAAATTTGTTGTGTGAATCTATCTTCCCTTATCTCCATTTACATTTGTGCTTAGTTGTCTTTGATACAACAAATTCTTAGTTTACTTTACTCATTGCTTTTGCATCAAGTTAACTCTGATCTTAAATTTTTTTTGGGCGTTGGGACCTTTTCACCTAATTATATATTTTGGAGTTGAATTAGTTTGTTAGATTAATTGACATGGTTATCAAATCTAGTTGTGTACTAAAGTCACAAAGGCCAAAGGTATTTGTAGGATGCTTGAATTGAGCTATATTTAACTTGTTTTTAAATAAAAAAATTTAAAGCACTCTATTTACCACCACCCCCCAACCATAGAATTGTGTTATACTCTCCTTGTCGGAAGCCACTTGCCAAACCAAGTATTGAATTGAGCACTTACCACTAGGCCAAAAGCTATAGCTATTATTCAGGGCGCAACTCTTTCTACTTACCCCTATCAGTCCAAACGTCATGGTTCAATCTGACTCTAACTCACACTAGACTTACCAAGACAAGATGTTGGCCTCACCAACAATCCCCCCCTAACACCCGCCTTATGCAAAGTGTCATTCATGGGAATCAAACCCATAACCTCATTTGTGATACCAAGCGTTGGATTAAGCGCTTACCACTAGGCCGAAAGCTATAACTGTTAGTTAAGGCACAACTTTTTCTACTTATCTCTACTAGATCAAACACCATGGTTCGATTGACTCCAACCCATACTTGGCCTTGCCAAGGCAAGATGTTCGCTCACCAACACATATATTTCAACCATACCCATTCAGTCATGTAAACAAAAAAAAAGTGTACAAAATATATAGGCAAACATGTATATTTTAATCTTTGCAAAAGGATTTGATGCTTTCAGCCATTAATCAACCACTTTGAATATATAGAAACTGTTCCAAGGATTTTCTTTTAAAACAGGTCATACATATCCAAGTTAGGGAATTAGCTAGTGGAAAAACACTTTTCTTTATTTCAAATGAATTTGAATTCCTCAACCATGATTCAATAACCTCATCATTGAAAAAAAAAATTGCCTAAGTTTCAGTCATACATTCACTCCCTTATATACATACATCTTTTCCGTGTACAATAAAACTATCCATTAAATATATTTATAAATAGATCATTTACCTCCTCCGGCACTTGCTGACATAGAGCAATCCGGCATAATGATGTTTCATTCTAAATGTCCCTCCATACCCATATTAGTTTCTTGGACACTAAGTGTAACACCCTACATCGACAACGATAATTTACACTCACATGATTCAAGCACTCAACCAAAATGAATATACACTTTAGAATTCACAATTAAAAATAAATTACTCACTTTCACAACTACATAATTACATCAATTAATATCATACCCAATGTCATAAGTTATTTAATTGATCACTTGTATTTAGGGACAACCGTTACCAATTCTTATTGGCAATCTAGACCATAATTCTCTCTTAAATATACCTTAGATGCATTATATTCAAGCGGTGGTAAAAAATTATTAAGGCTGACAGGTTTTAGAACACACCCTAAAAAGTTGTTTATTCCCTAGAATCACCGTTTTGCAAGATTTGCTGTAATGATCATAAATGACCATAATCACAACATATGATATTACACAAGGATAGTGCATCCACTTAAAATTAAAAAAATTTATACAATTGGAAATGTCTCAAATACTATTAACAATTACCTAAGCATGTACATAAAGGTTTGTGTACAAATTAACATCATACATAAACTAACACCTTCAAGTTTTCGTTGAACACCACAACACATCCATGGATTTACAACATACATCAACCTTGAGCATTACAAAATAGCCCGAGAAGCAATTTTACTCAACATAGGTTTACGTAATGTCATCACAAAATAGAGATACGCACAATCTCTCAATAATTCAAGAAGGAGATGGTGTTGAGCTTCCACGGACGCGGTGATGAAGATATATAAATAATTCTAACATTTGTCGCATATCCAATCGGGTTTCATAGCGTCTCATTTTTTTGTTAGCCAGTAGTATTTTGAGATCTTTTATGACCAAGCAGATTTAAAGGTGGATCCCTTATTCACTCGGTCTAAAGACAAACTTTATAGGGTTTTATTTTATTTTACTTACAAACAAACTTCAGAATAGCCTGCACAATCTTTAAAGTACTAGTTCTCTGCATCAAGAATACTCTGAAAAGACAACATCTCAGGTCAGCAAAGTGAAATTGGAAATAAAATTGTCCGTTGAATATCATGAGATTGAATAAGGTCACGACCTTGATGATCATGATGGCTGCATCCTTGTGCAAAACCTCGTTATACTCATGGCAAGCAAAGCTCTACAATGCAAGAAACTTTATGAAAACCAAATGCGAAAATTGGACGCAACTAAAACTCACTCCCCAGTTTACTAATTTTCTTCTTAACCAAAAATAGAGTAGAAATTCAAATTGAAAAAAAATGACGAATAATTAAAAAAAAAAAAAATCCAGACCTGAACACAATTAGGGCAACCTACTTCCACTGAGCAGCAGCAACATGTGAGAACCTCTAATGCAGCTGCCAGGAGCTTTGTGAAACAGGGTTGAACCTGTCAAAAAATTCCAAAAATTTTAATCCAAAGTGAATATGTTGCCATTGATTGGCACTCAGATCTCAGGAAGATTGTTAAACCTGAAACTACCAGTATATTACAGCAAGTTAATTTAATCACCAAAACATCAAAAGCATTAGATAAGTATAAGGGAAATTAAAAAGAAAAGAAGTGAAAGATCATCTATATTGTTAGGCTTCAAGTTTTTTACCTGTACTGCAATTCCAGACCCTCCAGGATGTTGATCATATATTAGAATTCTTTCAGGGTAATACCGGCTATCATGAGGATTTGGACACTCAGGAGCCAAGTCAGACAAGTTGCATGTTATATGTCTGCAAGCAATGTTATCATAATATATAGACATAAAACTAATAATAGAAAGGGAAAAGTATTTCTCGTGTAATAAGAGATAAAGTTATCTCCTGCAATCCCAAAACGACGTTGTTTTAGGAAAAAATAAAGGGCATTTTGAGAATTTTACTTATATCTTGCAACATGAATTTTCCCAAAATGCCCCGCATTTTGATCCCCAAATCCCAAAACCATATCTCATATTGAGGTTGTAGGAGATAACATGAGAAACACCAAACCCTAATAGAAATTACATAGGATGAACAAGAATAACAGTATCATGAAGTACAAAGAGGAAGAGGTTTTAATTTTTTAGTTGGATAGTCTAAACGTCCAACCATTAAGCAACATAGAATGTAGTAGGGACTGACAGACAAACAAATTTTACTTTCCATATTAACTTTGATCAAGATAAGGTATGGAGTGCAGAAAAAAGGATTTATAAACTTCTCTAACATCTAAAAGAGAAGAAATTCACAGCTACATTCCTTCCATTAAACACATGCATAAACACCAAAGAATAGCAGGATCTTCATACACACTGATAGTCAATTATGCTTCTTTTACGATCATATTCAAATAAAAATCCTTATGTAGTTCACCTCTAGGGTACCAACGGACAATTAATGAGCAACCAACATCTTGCTTGGATTAAAAGTCACATTCATATCATAAAATCTCCTAATGCTAAGAGTAGTATATTATTTACATGCAGAACTCTAAACGTTAGAAGCTTCAGCTGAAAGTTTTACCAAAACTTGTATATCATGTGCTGGACTCCAATTCTTTCAAAAGTTACACTATCCTCCCTTGTTTGTCAGACACTGTTTAAAATATTTTTGATGCATAAATCCCCTCAACAACCTTCATTACGGGTAAAAAAAACTAAGACAAGGGGCATCAGTGTAATTTATGAAAAAGTAATGAGCTGAGCGTAATTCAGAGGTGTAATTTACTCTAACAATGATTAATAATGTTATTAATAATTAATGTGAAGTGGTGAGAAGGAAAACAAAATGATAAATGCAAGTAAAGCTATTTAAAACAAAGAATTAGAAAAGAGCATAGCATATGTACTAACTCCAAATGCAAAGTATTTGACCGACAATCTGCAGAACTTGGACGGAGGTAATAAGACTTTTGCATATCATGAAGCTGCCAAAACTTTAAAATTAACATTTATAGAAAACTTACAAAGGCACTACATTTAATATGGCATGTGAAGCAGCATGCAAACCACCACGGAAATCATAATTTTGCTTGACTACTGCTTCTTTTATTGACTGTGGCACCGGAACCCAAACTGCCTACTTAGAGGAAAAGAACATATCAACGTTAAAACAAACACAGATGTCATAGAAGGATAATTAAAAGAAAGTTATTAAGGGAAAACCTCGATGCACAAGGCTCCCCAACTTGCGAGGATATGGATGAGGTTCGATTGTACACAGTCTTACCCTTGTAATTTTGCAAAGAGGCCGTTTCCCATACTTGCACCCGTGACCTTCGGGTCACAAGGAACAATAGTATGCCTCCTCCAAGGCTCACCCTCAATTAAAAGAAAGTCATTAAAAAAAAAATCTAAGAATGCTCAAATTCACCTGTGACTCATATGAATATTGAGGAAGTGCTAGGTCAACAGTGTCAAAGATTTGATTGCTTCCTCTCCAAATTCGATAAAAACCAAACCAAGTAGTTGTTACTTTGCATATATGAGCTTGGGCATTTGTTTTTGGAAATATGTTGGAGGAAACCATTACTGGATAAGCCTGACAAAAGAAGGGGCATGAGTTCTTAAAAACCTGAACATCTCTATAGCATTATCCATCTGTCAGGTAGAAGCATTACTTCAAATTTCATGCAAATGCATTTCACTGAATTCAAGGACCCCATACCAGAAGATTATAGGAGATTTCAGTTAAACAATCATTCCTTAATAGGGTTGTTTGTGGTTGATACTAATTTTATGAGTTATTGTCTTAGATACTAGTTTTAAGAGTTTATTTTTCCTGATCAGTATTTGTAAGGAACTGAAATAGAGGTCACAAACAACGGATAAGAACTAGTATATTAATTCTGTAAATCTGATATCAAAATGATATCAAATTCAATATGGTGTATTACAATAACGATAAATGGAAGAAAATGAAAGAAAAATGTAGTCTGGAGCATTTCAAAGGCTCTAGTCTCTCCCAAGACTTCTCTCTAAAATATTATATCCCTTCACACACCCTCCCTCTCCTCTCTTTACTCATACTCACCCACAGTTGCTGTAACAGCTTTTCCTTCCGAAATCCAACTCACACAGCATGGGCTTCTTAGGGGTCCCCTCTAATGCCTCCTATAATAAACGTAGGGCGTCACTCGCAGCAAAAATGGCATCACAATCTTTTAGGGCGTCATTTCATTACTAGAACTAATCAATGGAGCTTAAAGTATCTTACTGAGCAGAGATTATTAGGAGAGGGGCAGCAGCGTTAGGTGACAAAACTTCTAGGGTTTGATTTTGAAATTCAGTACAAGTCGAGTACTGAAAACAAAGTTGTTGATGGCTTGTCAAGGGTGATGGAATGCAAGGAGCTGGCTATGGTTTCTAGTCCGAATTTAGAGGCACTGGCTGATGAGATTTTAGCTGACCCAAGCACAAAGCAAGTCATGACGGAAGTCATGAAGGACGCTACATCAAACCTAGGTTACCGAGTTGCAAAGGGCTGCCTTTGGTTCCATGACCGTTTAGTCATTCCACGTTCTTCAAAACATATTCCAATTCTGTTAGAAGAGTTTCATGCCTCTCCTAGGGGTGGCCACTCAGGGGAGATGAGGGCTTAAAGGAGGTTGGCAACCATTTTTAGGTGGAAAGGGAAGTAGAGAGACGTGCAGGAATTTGTACCAGCTTGTGTTACGTGTCAACAACAGAAAAATCAGCACATACAGCCTGCGGGTTTATTGAACCCCTTGCCAATTCCTTCCCAGATTTGGGAAGATATTATGGTTGTGGTTGATCGACTCTCTAAATATGCTCATTTTATCACTCTGACTCACCTTTTCACTGCTGGAGTTGTGGCAGCAACTTTTGTTAAGGAGATCGTTCGTTTACGTGGATTTCCCAGCTCAATTGTGTCTGATAGGGATCGGATTTTTGTCAACAAGTTCTGGAGAGAGCTATTCAAATTATCTGGCACTAAATTGAAGTTCAGTTCTTCCTATCACCCACAAATAGATGGGCAGACTAATGTAGTCAATTGGATCCTTGAAACTTATTTAAGATGCTTTGCTAATGGTTATCCTAAGGGTTAGGCAAAATGAATTCCGTGGGCAGAATTTAGGTTTAATACCAATTACAACCATTCAACCCGGATGACTCCTTTTAAGGTAGTTTACGGAAGAGACCCACCTACAATCATCATTCATTTTGCAAAAGGGGGAACAACAGTAGAGGCTGTGGATAAGTAGCTGGAAGCTCGTGATGTCATTTTGCAAGAATTAAAAAAGAGCTTTTGTATTGCCCCAGAGAGAATGAAAGCTAAGGCAGATAAACAAAGGCGGGAGGTGGAGTTTACTGTGGGAGATATGGTTTACTTAAAAATGCAACCTTATAAATAGAGGTCCTTGTCCAGCTATCTCAACCAAAAATTGAGTCATAGATTTTATGGCCCTTTTATAGTCATAAAAAAAGTAGGTCCTGTCAACTTTCAAGTCATTAAAAGGTGCATGTGGTATTTCATGTATCACAGCTCAGAAAGGCCATTAGTCTTGTGGTTCCTGTCCTTGATCTTCCTAAATGTTTAGCTGACACCCTAGAGCTGCAAGTTCGACCAGCAGCTGTCTAGGATGCTCGTAGGCTGATTAATGGCAAAACTTAAGTGTTGGTAGAGTGGGAAGAATTTCCTGAGTGTGAGAGATCATGGAAAGTATTGAAAAGAAGTTTCTGTATATTGATATTGAATAATTTACATGAGTGAGTATTTATACAAGAAAGAATCGCTAGGAATGACTAAGCGATGACTAATCAATCCTAATCACAATCAATTCTAATCAATTACAATCAATCCTAATCAATCACAATCAATCCTAATTAATAGGAAATAAAAACGGAAACATGTTTGAATTCTGATTTTCTACACTCCCCCTCAAGTTGGGAGGTAAATATTGATCATTCCCAACTTGCCAATCAAGTCTTCGAATGCTGGACGGTGTAGGCCCTTGGTAAGGATATCTGCCGTTTGCTCTTTGGTTGGAACATATATCAAACGCACACTTCCATCATCTAATTTTTCTTTGATGAAGTGACGATCAACTTCCACGTGCTTTGTTCGATCATGATGCACAGGATTTTGAGCAATGCTAACAGCTGCCTTGTTGTCACAATATAGTTTTATTGGTAGGGAATATGAAATCTTCAACTCTTGAAGAAGTCTTCTCAACCAGATTCCTTCACAAACTCCATGAGCTAAAGCTCGAAATTCTGCTTCAGCACTACTTCTTGCAACCACTGTTTGCTTTTTGCTTCTCCAAGTAACAAGATTTCCCCACACATAGGTGCAATAGCCTGAGGTAGATCTCCTGTCTACTGATGAGCCTGCCCAATCTGCATCAGTGTAGATTTCAATTGTCCTTTTATACCCCTTTTTAAAGAATAATCCTCTTCCTGGAGTATTCTTGAGGTATCTAAGCACCCTATAGACTGCACTAAGATGCTTCTCCTTGGGTGAGTGCATGAATTGACTAATCATACTCACCGCAAAGGCAATGTCAGGACGCGTATGAGATAAGTAGATTAGTTTACCAACCAATCGCTGATATTGTTCTTTATCCACCTCATTCCCATCTTCAATACCTAACTTGGTATTAGGTTCCACAGGTGTCTCAGCAGGTTTACACCCTAACATTCCTGTTTCCAACAAAAGATCTAGAACATATTTCTTTTGTGTTAGAGTGATGCCTGTTTTGCTCCTAGCAACTTCCATACCAAGGAAATATTTGAGAGTGCCAAGGTCTTTGAGTTCAAATTGAGCTGCTAGAAATTTCTTCAAGGTGTTCAATTCCTCAATATCATCACCTGTAAGAATTATATCATCTACATATACAATAAGAATAGCAGTTTTACCATCCTTAGAGTGTTTGTGGAAGAGAGTATGATCAGTCTGTGCTTGAATGAAGCCTCTTCTTTTGACTGCTTGTGTGAATTTGTCGAACCATTCTATGGGAGACTGTTTCAATCCATATTGAGACTTTTTTAGTTTACACACTGATCCATTTCCCTTTTCAAAACCAGGTGGAGGATCCATATAGACTTCTTCATGTAAGTCACCATTTAGGAATGCATTCTTCACATCTAACTGTTGCAGAGGCCAATCTAGATTGGCAGCAAGAGATAAGAGAACTCGGATGGTATTGACTTTAGCAACCGGAGCAAAAGTCTCATGATAATCTATCCCATGAGTCTGAGTGAAACCCTTTGCAACCAATCTTGCCTTGTATCTGTTGATGCTATTATCTGCATTGAATTTTATTGTAAACACTCATTTGCATCCTACTGCCAGTTTTCCTTTGGGTAGGGTCACTATCTCCCAAGTTCCATTTCTTTCTAAAGCATTCATTTCTTCAAACACAGCATCCCTCCATTTTTTATCATTGAGAGCCTCATGTATATTTCTCGATATCTTTGTACTATCCAACATAGTATTGAAAGCACGAAACCCTGGGGACAACTTTCCATATGAAATATGATTAGAAATAGGATGAGTAGTACAAGATCGAGTACCTTTTCTAAGAGCAATGGGCAAGTGTAGATCATTTTCACCATGACACTCAAGTATTGGGGTGCTGGAACTAGAACATGGTTCAGAATACTGGCAGTGTAGAGGCTCTGGGTTATTCACACTTTGAGGAGGCTTTCGCCTGCTATAAACTTGTCCCCATTTTGAGGAGGCTCCTGATGATGAGGATTCTGTAGCTCCCCTTGTTTCCAAAAGTAGAGGTAATACCATGGCATCAGTAGGTTCCCATGACTGATCTTCATCTACTCCTATAGACTCCCCCTGAAGAGAAGTCGAGGGGAAGAAAGGGTCATTCTCAGAAAAAGTGACATCCATAGAGACAAAGACCTTACGAAGAGAGGGTGAATAACACTTATAGCCACGTTGAGTAGGAGAATAACCAATAAAGACACACTGGAGAGACTTAGGATCAAGCTTAGACCGTTGATGGGAGGGAATATGGACAAATACAACGCAACCAAATAACTTGAGAGGTAAGGAGGAGACACCTCGGAAGGAAGGGAAGATACAAACAAGACTAGAAAGAGGAGACTGAAATTTCAGAATGCGAGATGGCATTCGATTTATCAGATACGAGGCAATGAGAACTGCCTCTCCCCAAAGATATTTAGGAACACTCGTGGTAAACATAAGAGCCCGAGCAACTTCAAGGACATGTCGGTTTTTTCTTTCCGCAACTCCGTTTTGTTGGGGTGTGTCAGGACACGAGCTTTGGTGAAGGATGCCATGTTGGGAAAGATATTCTCCAAGAATAGAGTTAAAATACTCTTTGCCATTATCTGTACGAAGAATTTGTATAGCAACTTGGAATTGGGTTTGAACCATGGCATGAAATTTTTTAAACACGGATGAAGCATCGGACTTATCCTTTAGAAGATACACCCAACAGACTCGAGAATGGTCATGAATGAAGGTAATGAACCATCGAGTACCTGAAATATTTTTAACACGGGCTGGACCCCATATATCACTATGAATTAAGGAAAATG